GATAATGATCCTGATATTATTAACACAAGAGGAGCTGTTGGTGAATGTCCTATTCATATGCTATTTCTATATGGAACAGATAAACATTTGGAAATAGCTCGAGATCTTATTATACGATTTCCAATGATTGTTGCACAAATTTATAATAAACCGGTAAGTATAATTGTATTTAGTATTTTTGTATTTGGATGTTATATAGAGATTATATAGAGATATTATGGTGAAAATATTCTTCATATTGCTATCGTCAAACGTAATCCGACGATGGTTGAATGGCTACTTAGCAATGAGCATTTAGAGTCTTATCGAGAACAATTATTAACTGCAACTGCTACAGGTGACTTCTTTAAAATGTAAATTACTTTTTTTCTGTCGTATATTTCATATTTGTGTTTATAGAGGTCAACCATCTTATTATGGTGAAACTCCACTAGGATTTGCTTGTTGTACTAATCAATGGAATATTGTCGAAATTTTACTAAAACATGGTGCTGATATGGATGTGGTCAGTAGAAAAAAAATAAGGAATTATTGAATGTTAAATGCAACAAATTGATGATAATAATAATAATAAATGTCTCAACTAGAGATATACAAGATCAAGTATTTTTGATTCTAGTCTCCAAAAAAACAAAATGAATCGAGAATTTATTCTTATGATATTTTTAAAGAAATCTTCACTACTTGTTTTTCGATTTATTTTCTTGATGACTAACACTTTTTTTGATCATTTCCCTAGAGTTAAATTCTGATCGATATGATTTATGAGATACTTTACTGAAAATCATAGCATATTTAACTACAATCTTTAGTTTCGACTTGGAGAAAATTTTTTGCTCATAGTTCTAGTAAATGTCCAAATTTTCGTTTCACAATTCAAATTGGTCTCTTACATCTCTAGTCTTAACATTGAACAATGATTATTTTCATTTCGATCTTGATTATCAAAAGGCTTTGAGTTGGTTTCTTTATATTTCTATTTAGACGGACAGTAATGGTAATACCATTCTACATATGCTTGTTATCTGCAATTTACCTGAAATTTATGCTAAATATAAAGCACGTTGGATAGAACAACAGACTATTAATGATAAGAAAGAAACTAATGATTCAAAATCCACGAAAATCTGGAATCGTCTAAATAAAAATGGTTTGACACCATTGACTCTAGCAGCTGATTTAGGTCGAGCTAAAATGTTGTCATGGTTACTTCATGAACGTAAAAAAGTACAATGGTCTTATGGTAATGTTTCATGTTTATTACATCCTCTCGATCAACTCGATCATGATTTTCATAATGATGTGAGTTAACTGATGTTCATAGTTATATCTTTAATATTTCTTATTGAGCTTATTCAGAGTCAACAACGACCTCTTAGTGTAATTGAAATAATGATAAAAAATAATAATCCTGAATTAGTGCATTCTATTACTATATCTTTAATTGACAAAAAATGGAAGTATTTTGCTTATCGAATACTTCTTCGACGATTTCTTATTACATTTTTCTATCTTCTCATTTTTCTTGGTACTACAATTTTACGACAAACACGATCAGAAACAGTAACTTCACAAAAAAAAAATCTTGATTAACTATGAAAAATATTTTTTCAGACATCAGATGACGATGATGAGAAATTTTCAAATAGCCTTTATCAGATCATTTCTGGATGTGGTCGTACCATTGTAATATTAGGTGCTCTATTAAAAAGTGCACGTGAAATACACGAAATGCGTAGTTTGGGTCTATGGAATTATATCAACAGTACAGTGAGTGATTATTTTTTTTTCATCATTTTAGATTTAATTCATTATAATGATTTTTAGGGATCTATTTTTCTTGAAAATTTTTTGGCATGTTCGTTTTGTACTGGTATTTTTACTGCACAAATTTTTCATCTATTTGAAATGCAACAACATGAAACTCTCATACTTGCATTTACTTCTCTCATTGGATGGGGTTATATGTTCTTTTTTATTATGCCATTTCGATTTACTGGTCCATTTGTCATTATGATTTATAAAATGTTATTTAATGATGTTCTTCGTTTTTGCATAATATATATAATTTTTCTTGCTGGTTTTTCACAATCATTTTTTATTTTATTCAACGAGAATGGTAAGTTGTATGAAGCATGAGAAAAGGATGAGTATTTCACTCATAACAAAAATGTTAAAGAAAAGTAAATT